TCGTCGTGCGCGTCTTCAGGCGAGGCCTGACGGTCGACGTCGTGCTCGCCTCCATCTTCCTCATGCTTGGCTGGTTCGGCATCGTTCTCCGGGTTCTCAGGGGGTGGAGGCATCGACTCGGCAAACTTCGGGTCAATGGCGGCCCTGTGCAGAGAGCGCTTGTAGACCTCTGCCTCGTCGGGATCGCGCACCACCACTTGGATCTGATCGACCTGATCCTCCTTGGTCTTCGGACGGGCAGGTGCCAGACCGGCCTGAGCGATGGTGCGGGCTCTCTCAGGCTTGAGACGGGTCTTTCCGAGAATGGGGTAGTAGTACGCGGCCCTTTGCCTTGAGTCGAGACCGTCGCGCTTTCCATCCTTCACTTCCTCCGGGTCAAAGAGCGTCAATGCAATGTCCTTCTGCTTCTGGTCGTTGCCCAAAGTCTGAGCGCTCGTAGCGTAGGTGCGGACACGGTCGAAGCGGTGGAACTTGGTATTGTCGGCTCCGTCATGAGTGTACAGCGCTTCGTTATCGCGGTCCGGGTTGGTGATGCGCAGACTTGCCGAAACATTCTTGGCCGCATCCTTCTTCTCAGGCAGATAGAGATCGTAATCCCATGGGATAGGACCTGGGTCAGGGTACAGGTTGGGGTTCGTCTTATACAAGGCCGCCTTCGTGTTGTGCTCTTGGCAAACGCGTTCCTCTGGTGCCGATGGAAGCAGTATAGCCACATCCATGCGCTTGTCTCTCTTCCCAGAGACATCCTGAACAGGCGCCTTGTCAAATTTGAATTGGACAAAACCACCCGGGTCCGGGAATCCTTCCAGATCGGGGAGGAGCGGATAGAATCCGACAGGCTTCAGCTTAGGGTTATCAGGGTGCACTGGGTGGGCCCATGCATCGTGTTCAAGCTTCGTAGGAGTGTGGCCTTTAATCTTGCTAGCTGTATCTTCACCGACGTGCTTGCTGTGAGGATACGCAATATCGAAACCTTTCTGGAGGTATTTCTTGATGTAGGTCGGGTCATCCTGCGACTTGGTCCTGTCCATCCCGCGCTTCGTCCGGATGGGAGCGACCTTGGGGCCATCAGGCGCCCGAAGACCGGCGGAAATATACTGCGTACGGCGAAGGAAACTGACGTTGGTATTCTTCGGTGCCGGGTTCTTCAGCTGCTCCGGCGTCATCAGAAGCGCCAAATCAGCCTGGTCAATGGGTTCCGGATTCTCAGGGGCCATAATCGCTGAATTTCCAACAATTGTCAGCCGCCAATTTAATAAAGATCAGATCATGCAAGCCGAAATACATACCGCTCTCATCACCCAAGTGAAGCCCGGGAATACCGACCAAGTCGATTGGCATACCACCTTCCGCGTCAACATCAATGTTAGGTTCCTCGCGACGAGCCAAATTGGAGGCAAATCCCGGGGTCAAGAAACGGTCCAAGCCCTCATGTGGGATATCGAGGAACTTCGGGGGCATATCCGGAGGCGGCAGGTCATTTCGGTAGCGGAGAGAAGCAATGTACTCCTGGTGAAAGCCCCCGGAGGAGCTGCTGTCCTTGGATTTCGACATGCTCGCTCGGAACTCGGAGAGCACCAATTCCTTTGGTTCAGCGTCGTCAGAGGAAGGTGAACTGTACACTGTAACACACTTTAGTGGAGCTCCCAACTTGCGCGCGCGGCGACAGCTCGTTGAAACTTACGTGGCTCTGGGAGGGTAAGCGGGGGAATTTCAGAGGTAGGCACAAGATAACCAGGAGTTCTCCGGGGCCGAAGAGTCACTATAAACTCCCTGGGAGCTTAAGGAGGCGATAACGCAGTCAGTGAGCACCGACAAACAGTATGCACGGTTGCGAGCATCGAGATGCAGGATAGACTTACATGGGGGTGGCCGGCTCATTTCTGCAGTATTTTACCGCCTGACTAGCAAAGTTAGCGTGAGTCAACGTGAATGACGGTTCGGAGAAAGGATGCTCCGAGCATGCGCAGTTATAGTTGGATTGCAGTCTAAAAGGAAGTTGGGCGTGAATCTTGTATCATACTACAGAATGTTCCATTCACTTGTCATTATTCGTATTTGATGCCTGTAACCCTAGGCTGCAGGATATGTGTGGATCAAACAGAAAGCTAGCTTGAAATTCAATAGAGTTACAAAATTGTGTCAGTGTTCCCGTGTCATACCAACACCACCTTTCAGATCAGGAATAGCCATAGCCCTCTGGGAAAGGCAGAAGATCAGTAAGCCCACATGCACTTGTATGCCATGAGCCTATGTCCCAGTCGGTCGTATTCCAGCTGGCCGATCCAGCTATCATTCGTTCCGCTTAACTTGCCGAAGACACTCGCTCCCTTCCAGACAACAACTTGCGGATCAAGGTCTCGCGGCGGTGTGCCAATCATGATCTCCTTAGCGAAAGCTGGTCGCAGAGCCTGTAGACGCTCCTCTAGGAACGAGTGGAATCCATTGACCAAGCTTCCGCCTCCAACTACCATGATACCGCCGAGGAAGTCTCGCATTTTACGCTCGTCCGATCGGGCTGCCTGAGCGATAGAGGTCAAAATCGCATTGTCCAGAGGGTATACCGGGAGAATGTCGTCCCTCTCTTCAACAGTGGGGCCACGGGGCTGCGACGTGCTCTGGCCTTGTCCGCTCGGGGCAGGGGTAGCAGCGCCGGCCTGAGGTGTACCGACTGCTTCCGGCGCAGGGGAGCCAGCGACTGAAGATCGTGGAGTTGCTTCAAGCTCTTGCACGCGACTCAGGGCATTGAACTGCTGGGCCCGGCTGGGGGTAGCCTGAACGTCCACGTTGTTCGACTGCGCATCACCGTTCACCTGGCCGTTAGTGGGAGGGGGAGCGATGCTGGAAAGAATAAGTGATTGGGCGGCCGATGTCGGGTCATTAGGCTGTCCGTCGTAGATATCCACCGAGCGGGCAATCAGCTTTCTGCGTCCCTTGAGCTTCTGTGAGTGATCGAAAATGGTCGGCTGGAAGTAGCCCATCGGCGCCAGATGAACCTCGTCGTAAGCCTTGAAAGAGTACTTCCGGGTATCATGACCAGCAACGCGGAGATGGAAATCGAAAACTTGCACCGATACACTCGCTTCGTTCATGGTGCAAACGTTCCTTTTGAGCTCTTCTGCCAACAGGTAGTCGTATCGACGCCAGAGGTTGATATCTGAGTAGGGGAAGTTGTCGTAAAGCATCATTTTTATAAACACTTCAGTGATATCCAACCCGCCATACTTCAGGTTCACGCGAGAGTTCTCAACGCACATGCCTTCCTCGACGCAGCATATGGAAGTCTTTTGGGCGCCAATGTCGACGACGCAAGCCGAGGTGAATCCGGCGCCGAACGTAGCCGCTAGACTTTCCTGGATGAAGCAGACTCGTGCAAAGGCGAACTCTCTCATGAGCAACTCGAGTACTTGGGTGACATAAGACTTTTCGTAGATATCAGGGATAACGAAGACGCAGGAGTACTGAGGCCAATCCTTTTTGCTGGTGAGTCCCAGTTGGGTCTTGAAAGCATCCTCCAAGATGAGGGAGATGTCAAGGAAGAGAAGCCGCTTATTATCGTAATCTCGCTCATTGCACCAGCCATGCCTTATTGGCCAGTAAAGCTTATAGCGAGGCTTCGAATCATCGGGTATCCTCAGGGCCGCTTGTCCCACGATGTATTCGGGTGCCGGGTCAGGGATCTCGGTCCATTCCACGCGCATGGGGTCGTTGTGTTCTGAAATAGTCTCTGGCACGGTCCTCCGGTTGAAGTTGACGACCATTTCCTTGGAGTTTGGCAGTGTTCGACGCTTGTTCTGTCGCATGTGGGTTTTGAGCTCCGCTGACATCGTCGTATACTGGGAAGCAAACTGTGACGGGTTAGAAGCCAAGACAATGAGCTAGAGTAGGCGAGAAACAAACCTCAGGGCCAAACATCTTCTCCGGGTCCATGGTTGAGCCATCGTCCAGTTTCAGCCGCTTGGGACAAGGTTCCTCTTGGTCTTCGGACTCGCTGGTAGCAGCCTTTCGCGCAATCACCATAGGCACAGTCTTGGGCAAAGCATCGCTGGCCAGTCCAATTCGCAGGTTTTGGCTACCCACGTGGATAACAATAACCTTTGAGCCTACTGTTTCCGTAGCAGTGTCCTCCGCATCTTCCATGTTGGTATCGCCATCTTCCGCATCTGCTTCTGGCAGCCCTAGGTCGTTGGCCTTTGCCATGGCTAGGGCACGATCACGGTCCTTGGCCGTTTTTGCCATCCGATTTCGATTCTCCTCATTCTGTAGTCTGAACGCCAGATACTGGTCATCGCGCTTCAGATAGTCTCTATGAAGGAAATGATTGTCAGCGTTGAAGGTGGGCGGATAGAGGGCGCAAGCAGAGTAGTCACCAAACTGCGTATCGAAGATGGAGGTATAGCGACGTACGTGTAGTAGTTCTTTTGATTGATAGGAGGAACCTGCGGCCAGCTGGAGAGTTCCATATTATTATCGGTCCGCTCCAGGCCTGAGCAGGTGTGTTAGCAGAGAAGGCATAATCGCTTGTTGGTCCGCTAAACACGTACCTTCATCCCGAAGGAGAGCCTTTCCCGACTTCTTGCCGACCATGATGTGTTGCTGGACCGGCAGCCGGTGATCTCTGAGTAGGGTGTGAGTGAGAGAAAGTTGACCGGGTCAAATCGCGAGCGGATCGCGAAGGATGTCGGAAGGAGTAGATTCGGATTCAGATCAGGTGCATCCCAACGGTGAGGTGGCGCGTGGGGAAGGGGAAGAGGGATGATGGAGCGAAAGGTGTCGTGGCAGGGGAGGGAGGGAAGGAGAGGCAGGAATCCGACGACAATGTGAATGATGGGAAACCAACACCGGCGAGCGAGCGGTAGTGAACCGCATCCCCATTCAAGTTCCATCCTTAGTTGATTTGAGCTTGGGCCAGGCCGATCGGCAGGAGACCGCGGGCCAATGATGGCCACCAACCATCCCTCCATGCCATTTAGTCAGCTCTTGATCGTGGCCTTGTCTCGTGTCAAGCTGTGTTTTATTCAGTTCCGTTAAATCGACCCTTCGTTGACCTGCTACATCTCCTAACATCCCCTCGGCTGGTGCCCTCTGCTTGGAGCGAGTCCTTTTCGTGTTCGCCGCATCCTCTCCGCCACCGCTCGACGCCCGACCCTCCCTCCGCAATATCTCTCGCTAGTCCGTCATTCTCTTGTCCCAACTCCGCGGCCCTCCCCTCTGTCCAAGTGTTACTCTGCTCCTGTCGCTGTTAAAAATTGTCAACATGGGAGGCTCCTTGTCTCGTATGTGGTCCTTCCTCTGGACGAAGAAGGAGATTCGCATCCTCATCCTCGGTTTGGTAGGTATATCCATGTTTTGGCACTAGGCATCCAGCTACTAGCGAGCTTCATACTAACCCGCGCTCCCATCTCTAGGATAACGCCGGAAAAACAACCCTTCTATACAGACTCAAGGTGCGTATAGTCTTGCGAGCTGCTTGACTGTCAGCTAGAGGCCGTTATTAATGTGCCAAGAATAGATTGGTGAAGTTGTTACTACGATACCAACCATTGGTTTCAACGTCGAATCGGTGACGTATCGCAACCTGAATTTCAATGTCTGGGTGAGTCAACGCTGCAAGATTATTATGATTGCTCTTTGGCAAGGAAAGAGTAACTGAGGTTGCTGACGTACCGCTGTCGTCCAGGATCTCGGAGGTCAAACGTCCATTCGACCCTACTGGCGCTGCTACTATGCGAACACGGCTGCTGTCATATTCGTCATTGATTCCACAGATATTGAACGTCTCAGTACGGCTGCCGACGAACTAGCGGCCATGCTGAATGAGGAGGAGCTTAGTGATGCGGCGCTGTTGGTATTCGCCAATAAGCAGGACCAGCCTGGCGCCAAAGGTGCCGGCGAGATATCAGAGGCTCTCAAGCTGGGAGAGCTCCGGGATAGAAACTGGAGCATCGTCGCATGCTCTGCTATCGACGGTAAAGGTCTTAACGAAGGCATGGATTGGCTGGTGGTATGTGCAACCTCACGCTCCTTTGCTTCACCCTGGATAAGTGCTGACCAGTTATCCACAGCAAACTCTACAGTCTGAAAATGCATGAGCGACGGTGTTATTGTACCATCTTATAGATTTCTTCGGATATATGTTCTCGCTTCTAGGTGGTAGGGATCGGCTGCTTCCTGAACGCTTTCTCGTTCTTCCTTGGTGTCTTTCACTTATCCCCACTTTTACATCCTCTTTTCTCTTGCAACTCTGTTCAGGGCTCATGTCGTTTATACAGTATACCTTTTTGATATCGAAACCTTCACACTTAGTATAATATCATAATTATTTGAAATGACTGGATGTGTTCTACAGCAATGATTTACGCCGCTCTATGTTATGGTTAGGATGAATTTGCAGGGTTCGTCCAGCCTTGGTGCAGAGATGTGAAGACTTTAGCCAAAGGATATTAAGAGGTGCTCCCAGGTGTATATTAGAAATGTCATTCAAGCGGAAAAACCAGAAGAAGTCTAAATATAATATGGTTTTTTCAATAATATGGGCACTCTGATGTGACTCCATGCCTAGCTCGTAGACATGATTTTCTCAACTAACCGGGTTGAACAGAAGAATGAGCCACGAAGAACGCCCAGCAAAACAGGGTTTGATCATATCGCAAAGCGACTGGCGGAGAGTAGATAGCAACACTCCAATCTCCAATCTCTAATCTCCTTATCAACTCCAAGCCTATCGCTCACCAAGCACGTATCAGTCCCGATACTAGTTCACTATAGCTCCGGATCAGCCTTCAGATAGATAATCTTGCACGACGAGGAATAAATCATTCATACTAGTGATTCCCATCTGATTTGCACAAGAGGTAAGTCAGACTCCTCGGATGCGAACCAGCACCACCTCTTCAGTGTCTTGGTCTATAACGGTCACTTGAGGTCAATCTTGTGTATCCAAAGCAGTATATTTACCCCGCAACATCCCACCAGCCTTGCTCCGCATCTCCGCAACCACTTCACTTACTACTACATACAACATGGCTATTCCTCAAACCCAAATCGCAGCTGTTCTCCCACCTTCTGGGGCAAATGCCACTTCCAGATTACAGATTATAAATGACCGTTCGATTCCTGTACCTACTGAGGGAGAGGTCCTTGTCAAGCTTGAGTACTCCGGACTATGCCATTCGGATGTCCACAGCGTGCGCGGGGAAACTCCGATGTTGACGGATGTAGCGGGTCATGAAGGAGTGGGAAAGGTGGTGAAAGGTAAATGTCTCATGCAATTGCCTCGATTGCATTTGTCTATACCTGACCTATTATGCGCATAGTGGGCAGTGGTCTCGACGAGCAAACGTGGATGGGACGAAGAGTCGGGATACGGTTCGTACGGCTCTTGATGTACGGAGGCAGATTTTGATTGAGTGGTTTTGCAGATGGCTGTATAGCTCCTGTCTGGAGTGTGAGATTTGCGCTATCAATAATACGGCGTGTCCGTATCAGAAGAATGCTGGAGCGGTAGGCAAATACTGTTAGGCTCTGTTGTTGTGGGTATGCTAATTAGAGGCAGAATGTCCCAGGGACATTTCAACGTGAGTATCGTTAATCTTTCGGCTCTGGACCTGCTTACTGACCAGTGTTTGGATTTCAGAATACGTCGTCAGTCCTGCGATTCATGCAACTATAATCCCTCCTGAGCTAGCACCGGACGTAGCTGCACCACTCTTGTGCGGTGTGTACAACTGGTCGCCTGGTATATCGAAATATCTAAGCTAATCTCGCCCCAGCGGGCATCGCCATGTACTCCTCGATCACGAAGACCAAAACTCGACCCGGAGATTGGATTGTGCTTCCTGGAGCAGGTGGAGGCCTAGGACATATGTATGTGCATCTGCAGGTGTTTCTTCCCGGCAGATAAAGCTGACGGCATATAAGGGGTGTTCAGATTGCTGCTAAGAAGGGACTCAAAGTCATTGCAATTGACAGGTATGGTGCTACTATTATCGCATTGTCTTGTAGCTTACCCAGCATAGCGGCGAGAAGAAAAAGCAGCTGTGCCTCTCCCTAGGAGCCCACGCCTTCCTAGACTACAAAACAGACGACGTAGAGCGTGAAGTAAAGGCTCTGACCTCAGGGCTAGGTGCGCATGCTGTCATCTGCACAGCCAATAATGAGCCAGCATACACGCAGAGTATGAAAATGCTTCGCAGCTTGGGTGTTTTGGTATGCGTCGGTATACCAAGTGTGCCGTTTAGGTTACCGGCGACGCCATTTGAGATGATTGTGAAAGGTGATATATCTTCGTCACTGTCTTCTTCTAGCTCAATCAATCGCGATCAGATGCTGACATGAAACAGGACTAACAATTGTTGGCAACTCTGCCGGAACCGCCGAGGAGATGGAAGAGTTGATGGAGATGGCTGTAAGAGGCGATGTGACAGCACATATTGAGTGCTTTGAATTCGACTGCATCGATGATGTCCTGCAGCGACTGGGGCGATCTGAGATCGAAGGACGGGCTGTTGTGCGCATTCCTGAGTAAACCGGAGACTTTGCTCATTATCATCACATGCAGATATTGTGGTTCGCCTTGACGACAAGCCACGTTCAGTACGACGTACAGTACAGTACATAGATATGTTTATATCCAAGCCATAGCAACGAACTGTCGGCCAAACTGTCGGCCCTGACGATGAATATTAGCCATTCATTTTCCAGAGCTATTGGCTCAGGTGATGTGTTTCGTGGTGATGTACGGAGTAAAAAGGGCAATTTAAGAGGGGGCCAAATAGCCAACAGGGGGCGACTTATAACGTTCCAAACAGTTCATTTCTATTAGTTCTGTCATAAATCACAAGACGGTCTTCAAGCTTTCAAATAGCTGATCAGTATTCATTTTGACAATACCATACACATATCCCCAGGAATACGAGCATAAATACGAGGCATCTTAATGCCCCTCGCTGATAGAGTCGCCACCAGCACCTACACTATCTGAACTTCACCTTCAGGAAGATTGGACTTATGTGAAGAACCCCTTAGCTTGTCCATTTCAATACGTATTTATCGTCACAATGAGTTCGATATTCTGTTGCCCATCTATACATCCGTACCGCCCACAGAAGCTCGATCACGAGGACAAATTCGAGGCATTCATGCAGTGGACCAAGCTTGAATCCTCTCCCACTCTGGACTTGACCTCAGTACGGGACAACACCGCTCCTTATGCAGTACAGCTTGTAAGACAGGTCAACTTTGGGCCACAGGAGTCCATCAGATATTTCGCGCCAGCGGGGGCTGGCTCCCAGTTCGTGGAAGTTGCCGAAGGAGATTTACTTGATTGGAACTTCGAAAAACTGAATTCGTATGTGATGACGATCAAAAATTCAAACAGGATATTGTTAAGATCATGAAGTTATAAGAACTTCAGATGTGAAAAACACAACAAGTTTTATGAAGTCAATCTTTACCAGAGGAATCCTACTATTTCGCATCATTGGCGGGTCAACCTCGCACGACCATCCCAAGATATCGATCTAGCACTTCGAACGAAAGAGCATCAAATGAAGGAACTAAGAATAGGGATCGAGAGCTCGGAATATAAGGCTGATTTAAGCCAAGGCGCAGCATATGTTCGAAAACAACATGACCCTATAGCAGGATCACTTGAGGTCAGCCATCTCAGCTAACAGGGCATGTCAGATCATTGAAAAGGTTTTAGGATATCTCTGCAAAGAGAACGGGTTCAAAGTCATTTGAAATGATCCCTCCAGCTGCCGAACCAGACAATTTGGCCTTGAAGAGTGTGCTGAGGTTCCTACTTCCGCCAGACCGGATATCTCTCAGGTCGAACCATCTCCTATCCCTACTGTGCCTTGACTGGCTCAATCAAAAGTTTGATCTCGGGCTTGAGCTTGAATCCTCTTGGATTTCTGGGCTTACCAGTTCCAACATGATCGTATTTTTCTGTGGTTGTTTCGACTCTTCTGTCGACGATGAGGTCAATGTCGTGGAAGTAGAAGCCTTGGTTATACCTGCAATGAAAGAAAGTGAGCTGACTACGAAACAAAAAGTTTCAGGTCGGGACAGGTTCCAGCAAATCGTGACTAGGATTCTTGATTCTGGCAGTGGGGTTGATTGGGTATCAAAGCACGGTTGTCATGTCCGGAGAGTCTTGGATTCTTTCCCCAGTGCAGACTTTCTTGAAGAATCATTGCGTGCGAATGAGAAATATGAAGATGACTGGAGTCATCAGAATACTAGCGTGATCCAGAGTGCCTTTAATGAAGAGGTAATGCATCTAAATTGTTATATGACACCCGCTAACTAAGACAGCCTGACGAGGAGCCTTCGGTATGGTTAAGTCCTAGTGACAATTATTACCCTCAGCATGAGGTTTACGATTTTGGATATGGCTCCGAGTCCCCAAAAGACTTCACAGCTTGCGACAAAGAATGCGGGTACTGTGGTCATTGCGACAATTGAGTATGGATAATTACGGTTTATCTTCATTTGATACAAAAAGGCTCTGAGACTGTGAGGGCGTTGGAGCAAATATGGAGAATTTTTGGGCGTACTAAAAAGTTCAGCTGGAGGAATTTGCAACCGTCGAATTTGGCAAATGCTTAACAAACGAATAGTATGATTGCAGAGAAAAGCTTGATCATCGAGATTGCTACACCCAAAGGGCAACTATCGCTAATCTACTAATGCATTTTTCCTAGTATGTACCTTGTCTCCTTCAAGCCCAAACCTAGTTGCTTTTAGTATATGTCATTTTATTTGTCAAGATCATAGCGGATTTTCATGGGTTAGTATTCTGCTGGCTGGAAGATGCTTTTTTAATTTTTCAACACCCTATCTTCAACAATTGAAACGCATCTACCGTGTGTACCACGAGGTGGTTAGTGGGAGTTAGAGCAGGAAAAGTGAGTGATTGGTGTTCGTCTATAGAGTCACGCAGCATCAAGTCGGCCCGTGGCGATTGAGCACTATATACTGCTTATAAGTCGTGATCATCTAATAGGGAAATTTCTCGCAGGAAGATGAATATGTTGCTTCAGTGGGTGCTAGTGCATAGCAGAATTTCGGCCTGGTGACCGGTGCAGAAGATACTCTTGATACTCTATGAGACTCCACTGCGAACTATAACATTGAATGACTTTTCAAGACTTCGATGTCCAAATCATCAACCAGGAACCAGACTGTTCCGATCAGGACGCTTGCCGTTTTAGGCAGGTGTGCATTGAGTAACGATAGCTTTGGCTTAATGTCCTGCATTATGTACTTCACCCTCGTCTTCGCTGTCCGACATACCTTCCATAAACCATTGCATGTCGATACCTCTAGCCTCACATTCCCGCCTCAACCTTTCTGTATCCGCATATTCTCTGTCGGCTTCTTCTTTTACGAGAGCCATATTCAATCCCGCTGCTGCCCCACCCACTGTTGTTCCATCCGGTATCGTTTCATCATCTGATACAGGCGAACCCA